TATATGCACAAATCCAGCACTATAGAAAGTCCTGGAAGGAAAACTCCAACCTAAGGAAGTTTACTATTCCCACAAAGATGTAGGCAATAAATAATCCCACTTTACCAGAAGCCAAAATAAAAATCAGCGTCAAACTTCTCACAATACCACCACCAACAACAAATCTAAAGCAAAGAGTAATTAACAATCAATGATCCTTACTTTCCCTCAAAATTAATGGTCTTAACAGGCTGACTAAATGGATACGAAGACAGAATCCATCCTGCTGCTGCAAACAAGAAATAAATCTAAGCTTCAAAGACACACATTACTAAAGAGTAAAGAGTTGGGGGAAAATCTTCCAATCAAATGGACCCAAGAAGCAAGCTGTTGTAGCTATCCTAATATCTAATATGTTAGACTTCAAACCAAACCAATCAAAAGAGATGAAGAAGGTTATTTCATACTCATCACAGGAGAAGTCCATTATGATGAAGTCTCAATTCTGAACATCTATTCCTCAAATACAAAGGCACATACATTCGTAAAAGAAAAGCTACAATTGAAAGCTCACATAAAACCTCACACACTCATAGTGGGAGACTTCAACACCCTATTCTCACATCTAAACAGGGCAAGCAGACAGAAACTTAAGAAAGAATCAAAAGAACTAAGAGAACTTATGTCCAAATTGGATTTAACAGATATCTATACAGTATTCCACCCAGACACAAAGAATAAACCTTCTTCTCAGCTCCACATGGAACCTTCTCTAAAATCGACAACGTACTAGGCAAAATAAAAAACCTCAACAGATACAAAAAATGGAACAATTCCCTGTATCTTATCAGATCACCATGTTTTAAGGTTGAAATTCAACAACACAAATTGCACAAATCTTACAACTTCATGGAAATAATGACCAATTCTTCGGTCAAGGAGAAATAAAGAAAGAAATTAAAGATTTCCTAGATTTCAACAAGAATAAAGACACAACATACCTGAACTTATGGGCCACTTTGAAAGCAATGATACTAGAAAAGTTTATTGAACTAAGTGACAATAGGAAGAAAATGGAGGATAGTAACATTAGAGAATTAACAGCACAACTAAAAGCTAAAAGCCTTAGGAAAAAAAAAAGGAAATTCAACCCTGGAGGGATAGACACCAAGAAACAATAAATTTGAAGGTTGAAATCACTAAAGAAACTAGGAAAAAATTACAAAGAATCAATGTAACAAAGACTTGGTTTATCGAGAAAATCGACAAGATAGAAAAACCTTTATCCAAACTAATTAAAAAGCAGTGAGATAATATGAAAATCAACAAAATCAGAAATGAAAAGGGGGACAATACAGCAGACACTGAAAAATCCAGAAAATTTTCCGGCCATGCATTGAAAACCTATACTCCACAAAATTTGAAAATTCAAAGGAAATGAACAAATCTCTGGATAGCTATCACTTACCAAAATTACCAAGAACAAACAAACAAATTAAATAGATCTATAACCCCTAAGGAAATAGAAGCAGTCATCAAAAGCCTTCCGACCAAAAAAAAAAAAAAAAAAAAAAAAAAAAAAAGCCCAGGGGCAAATGGCTTCAGTGCAGAATTCTACCAGAAATTCAAGGAGGAGCTAATACACATATTCCTCAAATTGTTGCACACAATAGAAGCAGAAGGTTCATTCTAAACTCTCTCTTTGAGGCAACATTTACCTTCATAGCCAAGCCACACAAAGACATAACTAAGAAAGAGAACTAAAAAACAATACCCCTCATGAACATGGATGCAATGAAAAAAACTCATTAAAATACTGGCAAATCCAATCCAACAGCATATCAGAGATACCATCTACCACGACCCAGTAGGCTTTATCCCTGGGATGCAGGGATGGTTCAACATATGGAAATCTATTAATGTGATCCACCATATAAACAAAATGAAAAAGGAAAATCACATGATCATCTCACTAGACTTTGAAAAAGCCTTTGACAAAATCCAACACACTTTCATGATAAAGGTCTTGGAGAGATCAGGGATAACAGGAACATACATACCATACCTAAACATAATGAATGCATTTTACAGTAAACCAACAGCCAACTGAATGGAGAAAAGGTTAAGGCAATTCCTCTAAAATTAGGAAAAAGACAAGGCTGCCCACAGTCTACATATCTCTTGAATATTGGTCTTGAAGTTCTAGCTAAAGCAATAAAACAACAAAAGAAGATCAAGGGGTTACAAATTGGAAAGGAAGAAGCCCAAATGTCACTGATTGCAGATGATATAACAGTTTACATAAGCGACCAAAAAAGAAAAAAAAAACCTCTGCAAGGGAACTACTACAGCTAAAAAATATGTTCACCAAATATGCAGGATACAATAAAAACTCAAAAAATCAGTAGTCCTACTTTATTCAGATGACAAAGGGGCTGAGAGTGAAATCAGAGAATCATCACCATTTACAATAGCCACAAACAACATAAAGTGTCTTGGAGTAATGCTTACCAAACAAGTGAAAGGCCTATATAAAGAGAACTTTGAGTCTTTAAAGAAAAAGAAATTAAAGAAGATACAAAAAAATGGAAAGATCTCCCATGCTCTTGGATAGCTAGGATATACATAATAAAAATGGCATTCTTACTAAATCAATCTACAGATACAATGTAATCCCCATCAAAATTCCAGCACAATTCTTCAAGTACCTTGAAAGGACAATAATCAACTTTATATGGAAAAAGAAAAGAACCAGGATAGCCAAAACAACCCTGTACAATAAAAGAACTTCGGGAGGCATCACCACCCCTAACTTTAAGGTCTACTACAGAGCTATAGTTCAGAAAACAGCCTGGTATTGGCACAAAAATGGACAAGTAGACCAACGGAATCGAATTGAAAATCCTGATATTAACCCACACACCTACAAACACCTGATTTTTGAAAAAACAGCTAAAAGTATACAATGGGGAGAGAAAAGCATCTGCAACAAATGGTGCTGACACAATTAGATGATGGTGTGTAAAAGACTGCAGATAGACCCACATCTATTGCCATGCAAAAAACTCAAGTCCAAAAGGATCAAAGGCTTGAACATAAATCCAGCCACACAGAACCTCTTAGAACGGAAAGTAGGAGGTACCCTTGAACAAATTGGTATAGGAGACAAATTCCTGAACATAACTACAGTAGCACAGAGACTGAAATCAACAATTAATAAATGGTACCTCCTCAAACTTAGAAGCTTCTGTAAGGCAAAGGACACAGTAGACAAGACCAAACAGCAGCCCACAGACTGGGAAAATTTTTTCATCAATCCTACATCTGACAAAGGGCTGGTCTCCAAAATATACAAAGAACTCAAGAAACTAGACAACAAAACACCAATTAACCCTATTAATAAATGGGGTACAGAACTGAAGAAAGAATTCTCAATAGAGGAAATCAAATACCCTGAAAGACACTTAAGAAAGTGTTCAATATCCTTAGCTATCAGGGAAATGTAAATCAAAACAACTTTGAGATACCATCTTACTCCTGCCAGAATGGCTAAAATTAGAAACACCAATGACAACTTATGCTTGAGTTGTCCACTCCTCCACTGCTTGTGGGAGTGCAAACTTGTAAAGCCATTCTGGAGATCAGTATGGCGGTTCCTCAGGAAAATGGGAATTAATTTACCACAGAACCCGGCAATCCCCCTCTTAGGCATATACCTAAATGATCCATGTCCATGCAACAAAGACATGTGCTCAACTATGTTCATAGCAGCATTATTTGTATTAGCAAGAACCTGGAAGCAACCTAAATGCCCTTCAAACGAAGAATGGATAAAGAAGATGTCACACATCCACACAATGGAATACTATTGTGTGGAAAAATAACAATGGAATCTTGAAATCTGCAAGCAAGTGGATGGCACCTGAAGAAATCATACTGAATGAGGTAACCTAGTCACAAAAAGAGGAACATGATATGTACTAGCTCTTATATGATTTTAGACCTAGACCAAGGATCATCAACCTACAAATCACGCTGCCAGAGGAAGTAGGATACAAGGTGGATTGTAAAAGTTTCATGTAAGTTCCCTCACAGAAGGGGGAAGGGACAAGTTCTCCAGAGCACATGGGAAGTGGGGGGAGGCAGTGAGGGGAGAAGGAACTAGGAGAAAGTGAATGGGAGGAAAGGAAAGCATGTGGGACTAGGAAGAATCAGTCAGGGGAGGAATAGAACACAGAGAAGAGAAAGAGAGAGAGAGAACATAAAAGAGGGATAAAAGAGGGAGCCAATATTGGTTTGAAGAGAAAATTGAACACAAAGAAATGTCTAGAGAACTACAAGACTGACACCAACTAACCATTTAAGCAACAGTGGAAAGGCTACCATAAATGCCCTTCCCTGATATTGAGACCAAAAACTAACTTATCCATGGAGCCCTCATCTATTACCTGTTGGAAACAGAAGCAAACACCCATACCTAAACACTGAGTCTAACTAGAATCCAGATGCAGACGGAGAGGAGAAGACCAGGTTGTAGAAACACATAGAGACAACTGACCTGAATAAGAAGGAGCTAAGGGCACCAGACTGATAGCTGGGAATACAGCATGGGGCAGACTGAGGCCCCCTGAATATGGGTCTCAGCCAGAAGGACTGAGCAGTCTAAGGGACCTCAGGTAGTGGAACCAGGATGTATTCCTGATGCACAAAAGGACCTTGCGGACACATCCCCCCTTGGAGAGATACTCCCTTAACCTAGAGACAGAAGTCCTAGTTCCTACTTCAAATGACATGAGAGATTTAAATAACCCTCCTTGGATGGCATCACCCTATATGCTGAGTGGGGGGAATGGGAGAGGAGGGAGGTCGGGGTGCATGTGAAGGGGGAGAGTGGGAAAGTGGGAGGGAGGGATGAAGCGAGGGAGGTAGAGGGAACTAGGATCGATATGTATAATAATAAATAAAATAAATAAAAATGGCGGCGTCCCTCTGGTCCTTGAGCTGGCAGGGATGGCAGAGCTATGGCCTTGAGGCTGCTGAGACTTGTTCCAGCGTCGGCTTCTGCGCGCGGCCTCACGGCCGGAGTCCAGCGCGTGAGACAAATTCATACCAGTGTGCAAAGCCAGATGAAATATGGAGCTTTGGCCTTCATTCTTGGTGACAAGATAACCAAAAAGCTGAATGAATACAGCTGAGTGATAACAGTAGACGGGAATATATGCTGTGGGAAAAACAAGCTCGCAAAGGAGATCGCAGAGAAACTAGGCATGAAGCACTTTCCAGAAGCAGGCATACAGTACTCCAGCAGCACCAAGGGTGATGGGAGGCCCCTCCACACGGAATTTAGTGGCAGCTGTAGCCTAGAGAGATTTTATGATAATCCCAAAAGCAATGATGGCAACAGCTACCGCCTGCAGTCCTGGTTGTATGCCAGCCTCCTCCTACAGTACTCGGATGCCGTGGAATACCTGTTGAGCACAGGACAAGGTGTGGTCTTGGAGCGCTCCATCTACAGTGACTTTGTCTTCCTGGAGGCAATGTACAACCAGGGCTACATCCGAAAGGAGTGTGTGGACCACTACAATGAAGTGAAGAGGCTCACTCTCCCAGAGTACCTGCCACCCCATGTAGTCATCTACATCGTTGTGCCTGTTCCAGAGATAAAGAGCTGGATCCAGAAGAAAGGAGACCCACATGAAATGAAGATCACCACTGCTTATCTCCAGGACATCGAGAACGCCTACAAGAACACCTTCCTCCCAGAGATGAGTGAGCAGTGTGAGGTTTTGGTGTATAGTACCTGGGAATCTGAAGACTCAACCAAGGTGGTAGAGGACATTGAATACCTTAACTACAACAAAGGGCCTTGGCTTAAACAGGATGACCGAACCTTTCACAACCTGCGGATGCTGGTTCAGGATAAAATGGATGTGCTTAATTACACGGCCGTTCCAATCTATCTCCCAGAAATCACAGTTGGACCTCACCAGGATACCCGAATCTACAACAGCTTCAGAGAGCTGCCAGGCCGCAAGTACAACCCTGGGTACAATGCTGAGGTGGGTGACAACTGGATCTGGCTGAAGTGAATTGTCCCTTCTACCTAGCTGTGTCACATCCATGAAAATGTCTGCTCTGCCCAACTCTGTGAACTCCGGAGCTTTGTAAGTCAACAGGAAAAAGGCAATGATCAAGAAATTGCCCAAAGAAATGGTGTAACAACAGTCAAAAATAGTTTAACAAAAACAGTCTGCCCTGCCCTGTGCCTAGTCAGCTGATGAAAGTTTCAAATTCCATTGAAAAGGTTCTGGAACCTTCCATTTTTATTTTGGAATCATCTGGGGAATAAACAAAACAAAGCTGGTCTGCTCTGAAAGAGCAGCTCCCACTGGATGCCCACATCCCCATGCCCTTCGGTCTTCTCCACTGCAAGAAATAAAGATGGCTCTGTGGCTCCTCAAATAAATAAATAAATAAATAAATAAATAAATAAATAAATAAAAATGGCATGAAGATGTAGCTTAGTGGTGAAACACTTGCTTAAGATACAGTATCGTCTTGTTTTAACCTTCAACATTAACAAGAAATTATAAGAGAAGAAGATAGGTGGATACAAACCTGGAGGCTCAGCAGTCAAGAGGCTGAGGTAGGAGCACAGTGAATTTTCTTAGAGGTCAGAAATGCTCCTATGTTTAAATTTAATCAGCAAAACTGTCTCAGAATACTGCCAAGTGTTTCAAGGAGTGCAACACAATCTTTGTTCTGCGAGAATGGAGAATTGTGAGTATCCATGACTATGGAACTTAGTTGATGCATGATTATGTCTCTGCTATGCTTCTTGATAGTAGTGAATGTATGCTGCTTTTAAACCTTAACTATACTCAAAACGGAAAGAAAATAGGCAAAAATAGGCAATAGATAATCCCACTTTACCAGAAGCCAAAAGAAGTGGAATAAATCCACACATAATATCACCATAACCACAAAATCCAAAGCAAACAAGAATTAACAATCAATGGTCCACAATTTCCCTCGTCATTAATGGTCTTAACTCACCTATAAAAAGACAGAGGCTAACAGAATGGATACGAAGACAGAATCCATCCTTCAGGTACATACAAGAAATACACCCCAACTTCAAAAACAGATATTACCTCAGAGTAAAGGGTTGGGACAAGATTTTTCAATCAAATGGTCACAAGAAACAAGCTTATGTAGCTATCCTAATATTTAACAAATTAGCCCTCAAACTAAAATCAATCAAAAGAGATAAAGAAGGTCATTTCAAATTCCTTACAGGAAAAATCCATCAGAATGAAGTCTCAATTCTGAACATCTTTGAACCAAATACAAAGATACCCACATTCATAAAATAAACATTACTATAACTTAAATCTCACATAAAACCTGACACACTTATAGTGGGAGACTTCAACACTGCACTCACCACTACACAGGACCACCAGACAGAAATTTAACAGAGAAACAAAAGACCTAACAGAAGTTATGACTGAATTGTGTTTAACAGACATCTATAGAGTTGATTCTATGACAAAATCAACAAAATAGGCAAACCTTTATCCAAACTAACCAAAAAGCAGAGAGAAAACATGGAAAGTAGCAAAATCAGAAATGAAAAGAGGGACATAACATTGCACACTGAGGAAATCCAGAAACTATTTAGGTCATACTTTGAAACCCTGTACTCTACAAAATTTGAAAACTTAAAGGAAATTAACAATTTTCTGTATCAATATCACCTACAAAAATTAAATCTAGAAGAGATAAGCTATTTAACAGACCTATAACTCCTAATGAAATAGAAGCAGTCATCAAAAGTCTCCCAACCAAAAAAGAAAATCTCAGAACCAGATGGTTCCAGTACAGAATTCTATGAGAAATTCAAACAACAGATAATGCCAATACTCCTCAAAATGTTCCACACAATAGAAGCAGAAGGTTCATTGCCAAACTCTCTTTATCAGGCTAAAATTACCTTGGTCCACAAGCCACACAAAGATACAACTAAGAAAGACAACTACAGATCAATATCCTTCATGAATATTGATGCAAAAATACTCAATAAAATACTGGTAAATTGAATCCAAAGACACATCAGAGAAATTATCCACAAGATCAGACTAAGTAGGATTCATCTCAGGGATGCAGGGATAGTTAAACATCAGAAAATCTATCAATGTAATCTATCATATAAACAAACTGAAAAATAAAAATCATGTAATCATCTCACTAGATGCTGAAAAAGCCTCTGACAAAATTCAACACCCCTTTATTATAGTGCCCGCACTATGATCTGTTCAGTGAATCAGGTGAAGGCCTAGAGATTGAAAAAAAAGAAAAGACAACGGGTCATTCGTTCAATGGCAATGTCAGAATGCCGAATACCATTTAATGAGGGGATGGGGCAGGCTTAAATACTGACTTACAGCACAGAGGAAAATAACAGGATTTCCAGGCTTAGCTCCTCCCCACCAGGTGTGCGCTAGCAAAACAGGGAGAATACCAATAACAGCTCTGTGGCAAGGAGTTCCGGCCAACAGCTTCAGACTTGCTCAAGGTGCCTTGGGTGTCCATGCAGGGCCCTACGCTTTATGATAAAGGTCTTGGAGAGATCAGGGATAGCAGGAACATACCTAAACATAATAAGAGTAATATACAGCAAACCAACAGCCAAATGGAATTAAATTGAGAGAAACTCAATGCAATTCTTCTAAAATCATGAAAAAGACAAGGTTGTCCAATCTCCATATCTCTTCAATATTGTACTTGAAGTTCTAGCTAGAGCAATAATAGAACAAAAGGAGATTAAGGGGATACAAATTGCAAAGGAAGAAGTCAAACTTTCACTAATTGCTGATGATATGATAGTTTACATATGTGACCCAAAAATCTCTAACAGAGAACACCTACATCTTATAAACACCTTCAGCAAGTGGCAGGATACAAGATTAAATTTGCAGACTAATAACAGGATGAGAAAAAAAATCAGAAAAACATCACCCTATACAACAGCCACAAACAACATAAAATATCTTGGGGTAATTGTAAACAAACAAGTGAAAGATCTATAAAGCAAGAATTTTGAGTCTTTAAAGAAAGTAATTAAACAAGATACCAGAACATGGAAATATCCAGGTACCTGCAGCACTGAAGTCTTCAGTTATGGGTGTGTGGCATCGACAGCTGAACAGAGCAGCAACACCAGATTTTAGAGAAGGAGCAAGGCCTCTGGGGCTGATGGAGGTGGCCCTTGGCTATTGTACATTTTGGGCATTCTACTGTCAGTGCGGTATAGAAAGATGCTGGTGTCAACCAGGGCTCCAAGCTCTGGACAACTTCTTAGGTGGAGGTTTAGCTGGAACAGTTAGTTGGAACAGTTCTTCTGATTGAAGAAGATAAATATTTACTTGACTATGCTCTTCAAGTATTTCCTTGCAGAATGAATTGTCAATGGGCATGCTCTGTTGGTTGAATCTGACAAAGAAAAGCCTGCCAACATTTTACAGAAACAGCAAGTAAGAAAAAAAGATAAAGATACCTGGAGACCTGAAGGCAACACAAAGAACCCAGCATCTGATCTGCCAGATTCCTGTCTTGTTCCTCCACCCTCTAATAGAGAGGAGTGGGAGAGAACCCACCTGTACCCACTAAAGAAGAGATTGGAAGAAGACAGTATAATAACACATCCAACAACAGAAAGACTTATATGACAAAACAGGATTTTAAGGATTCTACACAAGCAAGACCTGAACATTGCAACACAGATGAAGCAGAAGAGAATGACCTAAAAACAAACATAATGAAAAAGCTAGAGGCCCTCAAAGATGATGTAAGAAAACCACTTAAAGAAATGGAAGAAAAACCAAACAAAAATTGGAAACCTACAGGAAAAGATGGACCAAAAAAATGCAAGAAATAACAAATCTCTTAAGGAAAGCCAAGAAAAAACATCAAACAGATGAAGGAAACAAAAACAATTCAAGACCTAAAAACTGAAATAGAGGCACTAAAGAAAACACAAACTGAGGGAATGCTGGAAATAGAAAAACTGAGTAAATGATTGGGAGCTACAGATGCAAGCATAACTAACATAATGCAAGAGATAGAACAGAGAATCTCAGATGCTGAAGATAAACTAGAGGAAATAGATTCATTGACCAAAAACCTTATATATAACAAATCCTTAACACAAAATATACAAGAAATGTGGAACACCATGTAAAGACCAAACCTAAGAATAATAGGCATAGAGGAAGGCGACGAAGCCCAACTCAAAGGTGGAGAAAAAAATGCAACAAAATCATAGAAGAAAACTTTTCCAACCTCAAGAAGAGCATGCCTATGAAAGTACAAGAATCTTACCTAACACCAAATGTATTGGACCAAAAAAAAAAAAAAATGTTCCCTCACTGTGTAACTGTCAAAACACCTAACATACAGAATAAAGAAAGAATATTAAGAGCAACAAAGGAAAAATGCCAAGTAACATATAACAGAAAAGCTATCAGAATTTCACATGAATTCTCCATGGAAACTCTGAAATCCAGAAGGTCCTGGATAGATGTTCTACAAACACTAAGAGATCACAGGTGCTAACTCAGACTACTATATCCAACAAAACTCTCAGTCACTATAAACGGAGAAAACAAGATAGTCCATGGCAACACCAGATATACACAATACAGCCCTACAGAAAGTTCTGGAAGGAAAACTCCAACCAAAGGAAGTTAACCACATAGGCAATAAATAATCCCATTTTACCAGGAGCCAAAAGAAAGCAGCATAAATCTTCTCACAATACCAACCACAGCAACAAATCACAAACAAACAAGAATTAACAATCAATGGTCCTTAATTTCCTTCAATATTAATGGTCTTTACTTGCCTATAAAAAGACACAGACTAACAGACTGGATATGAAGACTGAATCCATCCTTCTGTTGCATACAAGAAACACACCTCAACTTCAAAGACAGGTGTTACCTCAGAGTAAAGGGCTGGGAAAAGATTTTCCAATCAAATGGACCCAAGAAACAAGCTGGTGTAGCTATCCTAATATTTAACAAATTAGCCTTCAAACC